GGGCTACAAAGCGGCCCTCCCCCCCCCCCCCCCCATCACATTTTATGTAAATTACCAGCTCAGAATGACAGCCAGTAATCATTGTGTTATAGAGCAGCTTTCACAGCCCTTGCTGCCATTAAACGGATCTTCTGAATGGCTGAATGGCATTTATAAACATATACAAAGTAACAATGTTTCATTCATCTGCAGATCAAAGTGGTTACCTTTGATCTTAAAATTATGTAATTTAAAGCAAGCTCCCAAGTTAGAAAAACATTTTTTTTATATAAAATGTGTTGTTATTTAACCCCTTATTAGCCCTTAGTTTACCCTAATCGGCTGATATGGACTCCCTCTCCCCCTTCTCCTCTTAGCTATTGTTTTCCTGCTGATTTATCTAGTTTATTGTTTTAACCAATATCCCCTTCCCATGAGCTGTGCACTTATACGTGGCAACACAGTGGTGGACTTTAATGCAGGCTGCCACATATATGCGCACAGCCAGTGCCGCTGCATTGTGCTGGGAGTGCGATCACTTGGCGCCCCCAGCACTGTGACCGTGCTGTCACTGACAGGTTCTGGTCACTGTTTATAATTGGGAGCTGGAGATGGGCTTCCGATCATGTGATTACTGTGGCAGACAATCATAGTGTAAGTAAAAGATGGACACCAGCACTCCAAAGCAAATCCAGTATGTCTATTTATTCACATACTTGTTGCAAATGCAAAACACAAGATACAATGTTTTCGGGGTCTCACAGGATCCCCTTCATCAGGCAAACAAGTGATCAAGATACAGTGCGTTTAGACAATCTTTTGGATCACATGTTCGAGAATCCTGCCTCCTGGGAGTTCAGAACCCATTAAATGGCTGGTGATAGATAGTGGCAAGGGGTTATTTTTTTATCTTTGTTTTGTTTATTTTTTTGTTATAGTGTTGTATTAACAAAGCACAACATAAAAAAAGCCTTTATTTTATTCCTAAATAACATTGAATACTCTTTGCCAGGATCATAATTTTAGGGTAATTTCCATGCGATTAAAACATTTGTTTATTGGAATTTTTGATTTTCAAACATGCTAGTTAATTTAGTACAGTATATAGTCATTAAAGTACTGTAGTCATGAGTGAAGTTCTGATTTCTCAAATAATAGATGTTGCCCTTTTTTTTTAAATCCTACCTTTTTTTACACTTAATCCTAAGTAAACTGAAGCTCAGATGCAAGTTCGTATGTTTACCTGCCATGCCTAATGGTTTGCTATAATTTAATCTCCATTGAAAGTTCAGCAAAACATATTTTTGTTCAACTCTGTGTGAAGAGATGAAGTTTCATTGAATGTTATTACACAGGAATGTGTTTATTGAAATTATCACGTATGGATTTGTGGAAAGTACACTTAGTCCAAGGTATTTGAGGGACAAACATTATTGGGCGTATTGATCCGTGTTTCAGTTTCTTGTGTAAGTTTTAAGAGAAAAATAGGAAACTGTAACACTTGATGAAATGTACAATACACTGGAATGACTTATAATGAACACTGTGACCTAAAGAGGGACTGAGCTCTGGGTATGCCCTAAAAAAGAAGATAAATGGCAAGTGACTAGCCACCAGTATTGTCTGTGGTCTCCCTGCAACTGAACTCCCCCACTCCACATAACTAGCGTACCATGCCTTGTTCTGCACAGTGTTTCTATGTGGCAGTGGCCATCTTGGTTGAGGCAGGGCTAGGCTTCCTAATGCCAGAGCCTGCAGCCTGGAGAACAGTGAGCAGCACAGTGGTGACACCACCAAATCTCACTCTAAATACCCTGATGCTAGCAGTCAGAGACAACAGTGCCTTATATATCACACTGCAGATATACTGCTATGTGGCTCCATACAGAGGTGTGCCTAGGCAAACTCACATACAGGAGGAACTCCAGGCAAATGGTACATTTTCAGGGATTTGCATGAGAAAAAAATGTGTGAATCTTGGGTAAAATTTGTGAGAATATTGAGTGAAAATAAAGGACTAAGAAAGAAGGAGACTCCATATACACTGGCGTGCCTGCATTTTCATGCTTTTTTAGTTAGTTGCTGTTGCACGTTGTTGAAGGGTCATTTCACTTTTCCAGGCGAATTTGGGAAAATTTAATTACCCCCACCAATATGCCCCCTCTCCCCCCGCTGCTCTTACCTGTCTATGATCACTCCTTCCCCTCCACAGCTCCCATTATACTATCTGTACTCCGTACATGAGATTGCAGCCCTGCAGTATGTATTTAAAATTTCACTCACAAATGGCGAGCACTCATTAGTCAGCTTGGTCAGTCCAGTCAGAAGCACTGTCATTTGTGAGCAAAATGTAAAATGCATACTGCAGAGCTGCAATCCTGTGTACGGAGTACAGATAATACACCGGGAGCTGCAGAGGGGAAGGAGCGATCGTGGACAGGTAAGAGCAGTGGGGGGTAGAGGGAGCAGATTGGTGGGGGTAATTATATTTTCACAAATTCGCCTGGGTAAGGGGGAATTACCCTTTAAATCATGTTTCATGCCTTTTTGTTAATGAGAGTTAAATAAAGTATGGGTTGATAGGATGTAGGGCTTGTTTTTATGCATAAAAAAGTATGAAAATGCAGCTTACATGTGTTTTTCATGTGCTCTCATTGAAGTCTATGGAGCTAAAACGCACCAAAACAAGCAGGTGCACTTTTTTCAAAGTCACACTGCAGCATATTGCATCAGTATGATTGGGCCACATGGAAAACAATAAGATTATTTAGGTAGTTGATTTTTTGCATGATGGCCAAAGTGCTTCAGAACGCCTTGGTTCGAATAGGGACTTAAAACCATTCCTTCCACATAACTGGCCCACAACTTGTATTTTCAGGAGCAGGTGAGCAAGGCTGCTCCCATATTTCTTTTAGGGATGTTTTACTTTAAAGTGAACCAGTGGAAAGACAATTCATAATAAAGAATTTGCATATGCTAAACAAGGAGTATAGGCACAATGAAGGCACTTTAAATGAAGTCTTCATTCATCTCTGTAGCTATTGGCATTGCAGAGAAATGAATCTTCAGAGTTCACAACATAGGTACTAAAATTCTTCTATTTCAGCAGAATCTTGGTATCTTGCCAGCCTTCTGATGTTAACATACAGCGTGTGTTTCTAAGCTGTTAGAAGCAAAATGAAACTAATGTTGTTGTAATCTTTGAGTATCTTTGATTGTTAAGAATGCATGTGTAAGCGGGGTTAGGGTGTGGCGGCTTCACAGAGGGAATCACACGTAATTGACTTTTAACTGTGTGGACCTGGGATGCCACGCCAGAGGATGGTAGTAGGCCGCAGCACCCCCCTAGATTTGGGGATTCAGGACGGCCCCTACAGATAGGGCCTACTCAGCCCTCATATGAAGGAGGGGCAGAAACGGGGGATCCAGACCCGAGGCAGACAGCCCACAAACGCAAAACTGCCAGGGAGACCAGCATGATCTCCTCCTCAGATCCAGATGATGATGGAGAGTTTGCCTCCTGGAGGGAATGCATGAAACACATCCCTACTAAACGCGACTTTCGCCTCTTAATACAGGAAGTAAGGGACACATGTAAGACTGAAATTCAAGTACTCCACAAGGATTTCCAACAACTGACGCAAAGAGTGGAGGATATTGATGGGGAAGTGCAAACAACTAAACAAGATATATACCGCTTACAATCCCAATCTGTGGCTCAAGCGGCTATAATCCGCGATTTGCAACGCCATGTTGAGGATCTTGACAATCGAGGCCGCCGAAATAACATCCGTATTAAAGGACTGCCGGAGGCCACGGGGACCGAAGACCTACCAGCCGTTTTACAAATGCTCTTCAATAACATACTTGGAGCCCCATCCTCTAATAAAATAGAAATGGATCGTGCACATCGTGCCTTGCGTCCAAGAGGTACTGCTTCCAATCCACGGGATGTGATTTGCAGACTTCACTACTTTCAATCCGGGAACTGGACGGGGCCCCGATACAGCTATATCCGGCCCTCTCTTGGGTCACGCTGCAACAGAGAAGATGCCTCCAACCTCTGTTAACCCTGCTGAGAGATAATGACATCCCGTATCGATGGGGGTTCCCTTTTAGTCT